TAGGGCGAGAGCAGTGCGGGCACTTAGGGTTTTAGGGTTTTAGGGTTGCTCCTCAAGCGACCCTGTCGGCCTGCCATACATGTGACCGGGGCACCCCTCAGTGCTGCAGATGTGCACCATGAAATCTGACCAGCTGCGGACGCCTGCCAGGCGGTTGATCATGTACAGGGATGTAGGGAGAACGTGGCGCTCTGGCAACATGGACGCGTACAGCTGCAACACGGACTCCAGTTCGCCACGGCGAGGAACGTGCTCCCTCATGTGGCCTATCACGGTGTTCACTGAGTCCCGCAGGGTCCACTTGCATCGCTGGATGGGCGCCCCCCCCGGCAGCAGTGGGTCGTATACCGACCACAAAGGTGCATCGAGGTGCTGAGTGAAGAAAGGGAGTGTGCCAGGACGGGTGTAGGGGTGTGTACAGCCACAGTAGCAGGTCGGAAGCGCAGGAGTCTCCAAGGCCTCGGGGTTCACATCTTCTTCCTCTGTAGGGGCGGGCGCCTCAGCAACCAGTTCCCAGGGGTCCTAAGGTTTTCATTCCTCGTTTAGCACATCGTAAGGTAATGCAGTTTCGTTTATGTTGCTGGGCTTTGGAGGCAAACAGAGCACGAAGGGGCAAGTACCACGTCCCCAGGGGGCAGCGGTTTTGCCACTGTTGTGGTACTAATGACCGAATTGAGGATGTGAACCCCTGTTATTGGAATGCCCAGCCTATAATGATATTCGTGCTGAAGAGGGATTCGATCATCAACAGAGCATGTTGGAGGCCATGCAATGGGAACCCGCATGTCTGGCAAGGATATTGGAACGTATGTGGGCTCACCGAAACTCAATTACCCCCTTTAGACGCTAGTCTGGGCTGATGTGCGGTGTTTTCCTTTCCTCCGTGGCTTTTAGGCGTTGTAGTATTACCCTTGGGCCCTCGGCTTGTATGAGTAGTCTTACAGGTATGGGGTCACGCACCCCCAACCATGTAACACACACACACGCATAAAACGTCTTCGTCGCAATTAAGCCCGTGAAATTTTACGGGTGTTCTGCATTACGGCTGG